AAGGGTAAAACTTGGTCATTTAAAAAGCCCAAATAAAATAATAAAATCTAAAGAAACAGAAGCAAGCGATCGGGTGAAGAAAAAGAAAAAGAAAAAATCCATTAACCCAAAATGAAAAAGGAGGGAAACTCTAAATTTTTAGAAACAAAAACTGACCACATTTAAAAAGGGAAATCTGTCGATCCTTAAAGAAAAATAAATTTTCTCAACTCATTTTCTCCTTATTCTCTCTCATATGGAACCGACTTCCTAAAACCAAAACACTTTCTTCCCAAACTTTTCAAACCCTAAAATCTAAAACTTTCAAAATCAATGGCAAAATCATCCTTGCCTAAAGATATTCTAGAAAAAAAGAAGGGCAAACGGCCCATGGAAGAAAGTCCACTGTTTGAAATTCAAAAGAAGAAAAAGAAAGATGAATCTGCTACAATGACTATGAAAATTGGGAAAAAACAAAGAGAAAAGGATCAAAAATCAGAGAAAAAGAAAGAAAAAGGAAAACCTTCTGCAAAAGGCAACTCTTCATCCTTAAAATTCAAAAATAAGATTCATGAAAATAGGTTTAGGAAAATTGAAAATGCTCTAATCTCATGCGAAAAATTTATCGACTGGGACAGCTTTAATGAATTTCCAAAAATTAAAGAAGAACTGTTAGAATATTTTGAAGAAATAAAGATGAAAAAATTGAGTGTCTTTAAGAATAGAACCTATAGTGTTAGTCTGGTAAAAAAATTTTATGCTGGTATAGCATAGGATGAAAATAAACTAGATGATCTTGAGGAATTTTTCAATGATGGTTTCAATTTGTTTTTGAATGGAAAGGAGTTTGTGGTTACTACCTCTGATTGAGGAGAATTGTTGCATGTTGAGTGCAATGAAGGAAGTTATGAAATTCTAGAAGATTATGATCCCTTATCCTTGTGGGAAATGATTACTAGAAAAACTGAAAGATTTTCCTCAAAAAGCTATGCAAGTTTCATCAGAAGTCCACAAACTAGGATATTGCACTACTTCATAGCTTCAACAATTCATGGAAGAGGTGGCAGTTTTAGCTATATGAGTCTATAGCATATGTGGATGATGCAGTTTGCATTTAATGCTTTTCCTCTAAATTTAGGAAGATTTATGATAGAAATGATAAAAGGAACATGTCGGGTTAACAAAATACATTTGCTTTATGGAAATATAATTACTTCTTTGGCAAAAAAGAAGGGTATCTAGAGTTTCAGATGTGAGATGGATTAGGTAAGGAGTAGAGATTAGGCCATTTATCTGGGAAGTCTACCTAAGATGGGTTACAAGTTGTATGGAGAAATATTTATCAAAACTTCCAAGGATGCTAAGAGGGATGAGCAAGCCACTCCTGCTTAAGCAACAACAACTCCTCCACAGATTTCGAATGAGATGATCCTGAATATACTAATGAGGATAGATGGAAAACTCACTGATCAATCTGAGAGAATCCAAAAAATTGAAGAAAGTGTGTAAGAAATGAGAAATTTGATGAAAGAAAAAAAGAAAAGCATCTTTTGATTCTGTAACTGAAGATACATCAGCAGCACAAACTGCTGAAAATCCTTTATTCAGAGCTAAAGGCAATGAACTAGAATCTAGTCCAGTAAGGAAACTTCATACCCCTGAACTTAAAATTGAGGAAAAAGATAGTGTAAACATAGAAGTGATTGGATCTTAACTCCATGAGGAAACACAAAAAGTTGAGTCCTCCCCATCAAACTCTGAGGAACTTTTCATCATGGATGTCTTTCAATTGATGGTAAGAGAAGAGCATGCTGAAAAGGAAACAACAGAAAGCAAAGCACAGATACCAACATCTGCAAAAGCATCCCCTGAATTTATCCATACTACAAGGAAAAATGATCAGATTGGGAAAGAAAAAGGGAAAGCTGCTGTAACTGCACAAGCTGAAACTAAACCTACTAGTAGGGGCAGAAAGACTATGACAACTAAGACTAAATTCCTCAAGAAGAGAATGTGCTCTAGATTAGCTAAAAAAGCTAAACCTCTAATCAAGTCTTCTGCTCAAGATCCATTCCAAGTCTCACACACATCTTCCTCTGACTGTTCATCACAACAATCCTCCCCTTAGACATCTACTGAACCCTTCAATTTCTTCTTTGGAACAGATGAATAGACCCCCTCAAACTCCTCTTAGATTTGTTCTTGTTTTGCTGATGACAAAAAAGGGGAGATAGTAGGTTAGGGTAGAAGTTATTAGAAATTTAAGGGTAATTTAGGAAAGTTGACTTTAATGATGTTGGATTGTTTATGACAACATTTTATTTTAATTGCTAATGGATTGTTGATGATATCTGAATCCTGAAATTATTTCTATACTTTTGTGTTTAATAGAATGTCAATGATTGTTGATTTTGGAATGAATGTGGATTGTTGATAATATGCTGGTGACAGCTAGTTACAATGTGGATGATATTTTGTCACCTATGACTAATGTCCTGAAAGCTTGAATGAAGTTACTCTGATAGAATGTCTGAATTTATACTTGCTACTCTTTTTAAGAGGTAGATAAAAATTGGCTGACTTGTTAAGTTGGATAGTAAAATAACTTGAAACGATCATGCATATATTAAGGGGGAGGCCACACTCAGGAGGAGAAATTCGAATCTAGTGCAAAACAAGAATAATAAATAGACATTGTACTTTTAATCAAGGAATGTTTTGTCATCATAAAAAAGAGGGAGATTGTTGGCTTTATTAGTTTTTGATGATAATAAAACATTCCCATTTATTTATGTCTAACTCTTTTATTTGAGTGTGCAGGACAAAAATGTATGTTAGATAATTAGTTAACCATTCAAAAGCAAATATCAAACTCATAAGAATAAGGAGCTACAATTGAGTAATGAAACAATAGGCCTCTCAGTTGGATAATCAAAGGAATTGGCTGGATAAAACTCTAAAGAGAAGTTGGCAGGTTCAAACAAACTGTGAGACAGAGAACACTTAGTCGACCAAGAGACAGTGTTAGTCAACTAAGAGCTTATTGCCAAAAATTGGGTTCAAAGATAGAAACGACTTAATCGAGTAAAAAGTTTTGTTAGTTGACTAAGAGCCTATTGCCAGAAATTGAGTTCAGAGATAGAGACGACTTAATCGACTAAGTAGCAATGTTAGTTGACTAAGAGCATTCTGTTTGAAAATTTGAATTTAAGCACTATAAGACAGATTAAGGGCTAGAACTACTCGCAAACTGTTTTCAACGGTCAAAATCTGTCTAATAGCCAACACAGTTGATTTTTAAAGTATAAAAGGCACTCCCAATAGCTATGAACAAGCTTTTGAAGGCTTCCAAGATAAAAAAGAGCTCAAAAATAGCAAAAATAGCAAAAATTCTCTACATACTTTCTGCACTTCACTCCAATCTTTGTAATAGAGTTAAGCACTTCACTTTGTACCATTCAGATCAGGTTAGTGATCATAGGTACTTCTTTGTTTCTTTTCTCCTTGATTGCTTATAGTGTGAGAGTCACTCTAAGGGGATTGATCAAGCTTGGGCTAGCTTGATTGAGTGTATAGGTTCTAACTTAGCTTAGAAAAGTTAGTATTGGATTTTGGTTGATCTTAGGAAAAACCATTGTTAAAGGTTATGGCTAAGCCTGTGAAAAGCCATTGTAAAAGCTTGGTGAAAGCTTAAAAATTTCACCGTTTATAGTGATTTGGTTTGAAAAATCTTTGGTTGAACAATCAAGGTAGTAGATGTAGGTCTTTGTCCGAATCATTATAAATCTTTATGTGTCATCTTCCTTATTTTATTTTTCATTCCATTCTTTGTTAGATTATTCTTTCATCTTGCATTTAATTCTTTTCATTGATATTAACTTGCCCTCAATTAGAGATCAAATTTAGTAAGAGCCAAAAAGTGCTATTCACCCCCTCACTAGCACATTTATTTGAGATCAACAAAGGTTAAGCCTAAGCCTTGAAAAAATTGATTTGTAAAGGATATACTTGAACACTGAAAAAGTAGTTTTATAGTGAATTGAAACCTTTTTGGTGATCCAAGGAAGCAAATGTAGGCATCAAGGCCAAACTTTGATAAATCTTTATGTCTTCTTCTTGTTCTTCAAATTTGCTTTTCATTTTTATTGATTTGTTTAATTAATTTTTAAAACGCTTGGAAAAAGTTTTATGCAGTTTTAATTCATTATGTTCAAGAAACTATTTGTTCTCAATTAGTCTAAAAGTGCGTTAGCCTTCAAAAATTTCAAAAGAATTTTTAAAATAATTAATTCATCCCTCTCTTGAGTTTATACTTTTAAGCTAACATTGTTATAGTATTGGTGGATATATTGCAATGATTGGATCAATAAAATTTCGTAATCAATTGAATAAACTAAAATAATATTTAGAAGAAAGGCTTGATATCTTCATTAATGACCTCATCCAACATGCCAAAAGAAGTGTAGGACCATACAAGCTGAAGACTCCTAGTGGGATAATAAACTGGCTTGAAGGCTTGCAACCTGTACAATTACACAACCTAGCATAACTCACATCTGAAAACTTATTGGAAACTAAAATAAATTTGATTAAAGGGAATCCAAATAAAATATTAATCATGGGATGGTATAAATTTGGACTTACAACTGTAGAGAATGATACTTAAAGATTCCATTAATATTCTTACATTAATTGCAATTTGTCTTACATTAATAGACAAGAGTTGCTACTTCATTGGTCATTGAATTAATTAATAACAAATTCAAAACTCTAAAAAAAATATGCGTGAATCTTTTGGAGATGAAACATTTGAATCACTTCTGAGGTAGTTTTATTTTTTATCTTTAATTATTTTAGATAAATTCTTAACTTTTATCCTGAATAATAATAATTGTTATTCAATTTAAAAAATTTAAAATTCCATATAATAAAAATTAACAACTTAAAGTCAAAGGACTCGTAAGATCATTTACTTTAAAAGTTTTAATACTAAAATGATAATAGCAAAAAAACAATATGACTTCAAAGAAAAAGATTTGAATATGACTATTTTGAATAAATAAATACCATATAAATGTTATTAAAGCAAATGATATATGCTTTTCTTCAAACTGTTACACTTTGTTTCTGTTGATTTGACTTACATACTTGGTTTGTAACCTTATTATAAATGAGGTTTGTATGAGTAAAAAGTCTTTGTTTAATAAAGCTTATGTTTCTCTTCTTCCATGCATGGGTGCCACCATCTGTTTGTGCTCAGTGGGGAGTAAGCACATACATTTTACAAGCATGCGATTCCAACTGTGCCGATAGTTGGCCTTTCAATGAGTCTTCAGTTGAACGCTGTATGCAAAACGGTATATACATAAGAACTCAATGACAGCTTTAATTATAAGTAAAATAATATCTAAAAAAGCTTTTAAACTATTAAAAATTTTAAAATAAATTTTTATATTTTATTACTCTTAATTAAATTTTTATATTTTTATTTTCAATTAAACAAATTTTTATATTTTTATTTTAAATTAAATAAACTCTTATACTTAATGCTTGATTACTAAAAAATGTATTTTTTATTTTATGTAACGTGACACTAACGTAAAACTAACTTGACATGTTAACATATTAATAATAAGATAATATATTAATATGATATGATTATATAATTATGTTATATTTCATTTTCGACATTATTATCTTATTAATATTGTATAAATATAAAATAATAATAAATAATTTAAATAAAAATAAATAAATAAATATTAATTATAAACGTGATTTAAAATAAAAATAAAAATATTTAATTTAACATAATAAAAAAATTTTAAAATTTTAAAAATTTTTTTTAACATTTCACTCACCGTCCATAAGTCCCGCGCCTGGACAGTAACCGTTGGTTGAAGGCCTATGTCAGACCAGAGTGCGGTGACGTTGGCTTTGCGCGAACCTCTATTCCATAGCACCAGGGCTACCCTATTATGGCTAAGAGGACCAGCCCAAACCTAGGGTTATTGGAATTCAAGTTTAACAAAATTAGTTGAGCTAGCATTACTGAAACAAACTGATCGCCCACTGCATTAAGACCTGAAAGATCCTGGAAACTGACCTCTAAATGTCCATCCCTCTTCACCTTTTTACCTTGAACACCTAGCTTGTCTGTTGACAAACTCATAGTTTTCAGCCATAAAAACCCATCACCAATTGTTTCAAACAACTTAATTAATTTACCTTGATTGACTGCAATGACTTCCTCGTTGCTGAGTATTTCATAAGTGTCATTGTCCATCGTGCGTATGTCACACCCAATTATTAAAGGAGCCTGTCGATCAACCAGAAGAAAAAACTCATAACTCTGTCAGAAAGGAGCAGTGTATGCAATTTAAGCTGTTTCCCTTCCCACCTTAGCTATTGCCCATATGCTAAAATGCGAACGATACTCTTCCACTGTCATCCCTCCATTCCCAACTTCTAACATATCGGGATCTAACAATACCATAAAGTTCAATGCAAGAAGAAAATAATGTAGCATTAGTAACATAAAAGAGTACTTAATTAACAGAATTTTGATTCAGTTTTTGGCCAGTTGCAATGGAAACCACTGTAAAGGAGAATTCATAACTTTTGTTAATTACCATTCCAACCTCCAGGCCCAGCATAAGATGCCCACTTGTCGTTTCGATCAGCACGAACTATCATGCTATTTCAAACAATTAATAGAGAAAAAAAGAGGTAAATTATTTACAATAAAAATTGTTAATTAACAAGGTTTTTAAAATTTCGGTATTTGTCTCAGGATTTTTTCATAGGGATTTCTTAATGAAAGGTTAAGTATTTAAATTGTCATCTTTAGTAGGAAAAAAAAAAGAAATTTTTATTATTAATTGTTGATTAATTAATATTAATTAAAATATCACTTATTATTTTATATAACACATATTAAAATAAAATATTGATATATAATAATGATTTTTAATAAACATTTTAATGTGTCATGATGATATGCAATATAATATTTTTTACCTTCCACATTATCATCATATGCACATAAAATAACATGTGATATTATAACTAATGATCATTAATCGTAAACACTTATTGGGTTTAAAAAAAAATATTATGATGTAATAAAAGAATAAATATTTATTTAAATTTTTTTAAATAATTTAAGAATTCCTGCATTGTATAGAAATAATTAATAAAAAAATATTAATATAGCATAAGGTTAGAGGTGAGTATTTATTTGATTGTTAGTTAGAGAAATAACAAACCTGTCCCATTTATCACGGACGTCTCCCGATGTTCTCCAACTATTTCCAATATCCGGGGCCCAAGTGGCTGGGTGTTCCCGTCCCCTGCCATTTGCTCACGACAGAATTCACCGACCCAGTCTTTCTTTTATGTAAACACTAAAAAGATCTACTACAATGACTTGCCACACAAGGCCAGCACTGAAAGGCTGATTTACTCACAGAAAAAACGTTAAAAGTCCCTAGCAAGGCAAACTACTCTCAAGCATTTAAATATAAGTTAATATTGTCAATTTTCTTGCAATTGATTATTTCTTCCCATTCATATTACTAATTATCACTATCCAAGTCATTAATTATGCTTTGCTTCCCATCCATAGCCTGAGAATTACATACCGATGTCACATTTTCTTTTGGCATCGGGACAGGAAATATACATAAAATAAAAAAAAAAACCATATCAAATCAAGCATTAATATACCTCTTAGAATTAGGGAACTTAAGAAAATAACCACCATAAAGACAATATAACAATAGATAAGAAAAAGTTTACATCAATCCTTTTGACATTAAATTCAATTAAAACTAGAAACTTTATCTTGAATTTAAATTTTGAAATGGTATATAATGAACCCATTGAAGAGAATTTAAATTTAAGTTGGAATCAAAAATATTATGTATGTATGTATATATGAATATGTAATAGGTTTTGTACATTGCTATGTTACTTTTCTTGGCATACGGACTAGATAAATTTGGGAATCTAGAGAGAGTTTCATTTTAATCAGATCAAACCAATTAAGAATCTAAAAAGTAAAGAGCAATTAATTACGCGTTTGCTCCTCAGAGTATGATTTTAGTTTAATTTATCTTAAATGATTAAGATTAACTTCCAAAATAATATTAATTTATACATGCGATCTTACCATTCACAGATAGAAAAAAAGATGGGCCTCCCTGTGCTCAATAGTGCCTCACTCATTCTCTGGTACCTATGAGTAAACCATAAGAATTACCATTAGAAAACTCCAAAGCAAAAAAATATAGCCAGTTTTCGAGTTTAGTCCTTAACTAAGCGAATCAATTCTGATTATAGAAGAAGAAGAAGAAGAAGAGTACCTCTCTGTTGGAGATATACCATAACTCTCACAGTTGTCATACTTCAAGTAGTCAACTCCCTACGTGTTAAAATATATAACTGATCTCAGACCCAAAAAAAAAAAAAAGGAAATAAAGTAATAAATAAATGAGAGTATTAATTTCATAAACAGCATCATTACCCAAGAGGCAAAAGTTTTTGCGTCTTGCTCTTCATGATCTAATGATCCAGGCATGGTTCTACTGCATGTTTTAGTCCTTCATAAAACAAGGAGAGCTTTGAAACAAAAAGGAAATAAATAAATGTACACACACCTACTAATATATAGGTTTGATGCAAAGAACAAATTTATAACATACTAACATAGCAATACAAGCACACCGATGGAGATTTGACTACTTGATTTCTTGATTTTACTAAAAGGCAAAATTATCTTTGTATACCCACAATGAAAATTTTAAATTTCATAAATGAGATCAAAAGTTAACAAGTGTCTTATTATCGATAAAACTTAATTTATAACGTAACTCTTTTCCCTCCAAAAGACAAATTCTACATTACTGATTAATAATTTTAAATGGAAACCTAAAAATATAAACAAATAAGATGTTTATTTTTGTATGGAAGATATTTTTCGTATATTGATATTTTTATTTATACTAATATTAGTATTTGTAATTACATGCGTTGTACATGAGTATTAATTCTTTAAACTCAATAATTTTAAATTTGATTTTATACATTTTTAATATTGTTGGAATTACAAATTTTATCAACAATATAACACAATAATACTTTTACCGGAACATATCTTTTGAAAAATACTTTTATCAAAATATGATGATAAGTACAATTCTCTTCTATCATTTTAATTAATTTTAATTTAAAGTGATTAGGCTGGATTCCTTTAGCATAAAGTAAAGAGTTTACTTGCATTAATTTAATAGTTTATTTTCATTAATCATTCTTTTTTTTAAAAAAAATTGCTTATATGTATAAATACCTATAAATTAGGGAAATCAAACTTTTCTATGTTCTCAAATATATATATATATATATATTTCTTAAGAGTTTTATTTTAATAGAGTTAATATTCAATTAATTAATTATTGAGTTGGTATAAAAAAATTTTACACACACACACACACATATATACATACATATTTATATATATTATAAAATTCTGAATATATATTCGTACCCTGCATCAGAGTAAATACCAAGCTTTAATCCTTTACTGTGGACATAAGATGCTATTGCCTTCATTCCAGATGGAAATTTTGAAGCTTTGGGAACTAGGTTTCCCTGCCGAAATCAAGATATTTTACTAGTTATTAATTTGCAATAGAACGAAAAAGGCTTTGTACCAAAAGAATAAAACAATAAAACAAAAGCAGAAAGAGTGATAAATGCTGTTATACATTCTTGATATAATGCTCACACAAATTGCTAGTTGAATTAGTTGATACTAATTTCACCTACATAAATGATTTTTCACTTTCGAGAAAGATAATAAAAGAATACTAAAATTATGATTAAAGATGATTGTTTTATACACCAATGGTAGAATTTTTAAAATTTTTTCAGGATTGATATAAGGAATGATAAATGTTAATGCACAAGCAAATGAGTTTACAATTGACAATACATACTTTCCCCACGTTATTTTTGTAAAGTTGGCTTCCACTAATTTCAATTAAAATAAAAATAAAATAAGAAGAGGAAAATTAACGATTGGATTTTATGTTCTCCCTTCTTTGTTCTCCTTCTAGTTCAAATTTTAATTTAATTACTTCATTAAATAATGTTTTGAAAACATGAATTAAAATGAGGAATAAATGCTTGAAATATACTAAAACTCTACATACTCACTGTGTCTGTGAATAAAAAATAAAAAATGTATTATAATTTTATTGTTAAAATGGACAAGATATTGTGTATAGCCGTAGAATTCAATAGGGCGAGGAGTACCTTGGTGTCTCGACCAGGCTCGCCCCAGCAATCATCTGGAAGACATATATACGCATAGAAGACGATGAAGGAGGAGTAGACCAGACGGAATAAATGATTAGTTGTCAATTCTGATTGTAAAGTATACGAAAGACAGCAAATTACCTAAGTTTATATATTTATATCCAAGTTTAGCCAGTCCCCTTGCCTCCATTGCATCCGCTACGAAGAAGAAACATATTTCAAAATTTGCAATCCCAAGGCTAACAAAGGCTTTTAATTGAGAAATTATTATTTTATTAATGATAAATATACCTGTTTCTTTAATTGCTTTCTCTTCGATATCACAACCAAAATGATTCCAGCTATTCCATCTGATCACCAAGCAATGATGAAAGTATATACGATGTAAAAGCAATCAAAATATACCAAGGAGAATGCTACATATAGCACGCAACGCCATCGGGCTTACCCCATCGGCGGTGTGCGACCAAGTCCATTCGCCAAAGTTGTCCTTCTCATCAGCCGAAACGAATCGGTACTTCTCCCCACCATTCGGTCAGCAGCGGCAACCTCATCACCATTGGAGACCGACCAAACGACTAAGGCTAACCCCACCGCTAAACTCAAATATGAAGAAGAAGAATCACCCATATTCCTGCCTCAAAATTCCACGAACAAATTGGTTTTATTTTTTGACTCTAGGACATGAAGCGATGATGAAATGATAACACACCATCAATATTTATACTACTATTTCTGTTAAATATTTATTTAAAAATATCTAAATAAGTAATGGAAAGCCAATTTCATTTCACTTTCTCATATTACTTTGTGATTAATTTCTCAGCATTAATATTCTGTCACTGATGATAGATCCCTATAGCCCATATATAAAAAGTTCTAAAATTAGACCACTCATTTTCAGGCAATAATGCATGCCTTTGTCTTTCATTGATACGTTGATGTATTCATTTTTTTACCTACTAAAAATATCAAAGCAAGACCAAAGGTGTGTAAATATACTTCTTGTTTCAAAAACTCCAAACATGCTAATGATACAAAGACTCAACTTGCACAAGGATAACACAGCTAATTAATCCAGCAATTATCTAAATTTTTATATACCGTAAAAGAAAAAGCTCTATTTGACCTTATTACAATAGAGTTAAAAAGAATGATACACTACAATGCAAAGAGAAATAAAAAGTATGTTTACTTCGCAGAATTGGAATAGAGGTAGAATAGTACAGTTATTCTGTGAGAATAAAATAAATGAAAAACATCTATTATGTAGTTTGGTTCATAAAATGGAATACGACATGAATTGTTATTATGAAAGTTTAATATTTGGTTGATAAGAATAGTTTTAGGGATAACTAAGTGGTGAATAATAAAACCATCCTTTCTTTAAAAAAAAATTAAGGATTTATTTTACCAAAAGATAAAAATACCCAAATAATAGGTGATAAGATGAAAATATCATTGTGCTCTGAAATATAAACTGAAAGAACAATCATGAGAGAAAAGCATTAGGAAATTAAGAGATATTTTATTTACGTGTGTATTTATAAATGAAGTGAGGGACCTATTTATAGGTTAGTATTTGTAACACCCTATACCTTCGTATAAGAGCCAATATGATCTCA